ATCTGCATTGTGCAAATGACACAACCCTGCTAGCTGAAACGGAGGAGGACCTGAAGTGCTTGCTGCAAAAGGTCAAGGACTTTAGCCTTCAATTTGGATTGAAGCTCAACATCAAGAAAATAAAGATTCTCACCACTGGGCTGACTGGCAGCACCATGACAGATGGTGAAGAGATTGAGATTATTAACAGCTTTAGTTTGCTTGGCTCCACAATCAACACTCTTGGCACCAGCATCCAGAAAATTAAAAGACTAATTGCATTGGGAAAATCTGCTGTCAGAGACCTCTCCAAAGTACTGAAGTTGTCAGTCTAGAAACTTAAGTGCGCCTAATATAGGCCATGTCTTTGCAATTTCTTGCTGTGCATCAGAAAGTTGAACAATGACTATGGATGATAGAAGGAGAATTGATGCCTTTGAGCGGTGGGGCTGGAGAAGAGTATTGACTATATCACGTACTGCTAGAACAAACAGGTTCGTCCTGGAGAGGTTGAAGTCAGGCTGTTCATTGGAGGCAAGGATTCTGAAGCTTCATCTGACCTACTTTGGACATATTGCAAGGTGGGATCAGTCCTTGGAGAGGGACATCATGCTTGGGAGGGTGGAGGGACAGCACAAGAGAGGAAGACTCTCAATGAGATGGATTGATTCAGTGACTGGGGTAATAGAGGTAGGTGTGTCGAAAACAATGAAATTGAAAGAATATAGAGCAGAATTTAGGGCTGTTTTACATATGGTCACTATGAGTTGTAGAAAATTCAGTGGTACATAACAACAACAATATACTTTTCTATTTATTTTGTGGAAAATTGAACTGTGAAAGTGAGTTTGGTTCAAAATCTGTAGTGGATTGCACTAATCAAGAAAGTCACAAGTCTCTAGTGGTTTAAATCTACCTCAGGAGAAAGTTGGACAGTCTCTTCCCATTAAGATTTAGAGCCTAAATACTCAGAAAACCCTAAAGACTCAGCAAGAAAACTAGTGGACATAGTTGACCAATTCAGCAAAGTGGAAGGATACAAGATCAACATACAAAAATCAGTTGGATTTTTGTACAGTGACAAAGAGAATACAGAACTGGAGTTAAGAAAAGCAATACCCATCACAGTAGCTAATAACAAGATTAAATACTCATTTTGTATACTATTTCATGAGTTCCTTGTTTTTTCAATGCAGCTTAGTATTCCATTGTCTGAGCCTACCACAACTTCTCTATCTATTTGTTTGATGATGGTCACTTGAGTTGTTTCCAGCTCTTTGTTATTGTGAACAAAGCAGTAATAAACATGGGTGAGCAAATATCTGCTTGGGTGACAGTTCTAGGGGGTCTTTTAGGATATATTTCCAGTAGTGGAATTGCTGGGTCAAGTGGTATTTTTATTTCCAACTTTTT